GGGCTCAAGAGAAGCCAAAGAAATTTTTATGATGACTATTACTATAATTTCCCCCAAACAGGAAAAATAAGGGAATCTAGAAAATGACCCCAGACAAAGACTAAGCTATGAGTAAGCATTTTTATGTGGTGGGAGGAAGTGTGGTGAATAGAATCTGAAGGAAGCTGGAGTGAGGCAGTGACCAGCAGGCAAATTTTCGGCTTCGGTGCTAGAGGCTAAAGCCTGTCCCCTACAGACCTCCTCTCATCCCTGCCAGTTAGGAGAAGAAAAAGGTGATAATTAGAGAAAAGGTTAACACCCTTGGAGACTCAACAACGGTGGAGTTGGGAAAGAACAGCTCTCCCACCTCATAACAGCAGTAAACTGACTGACTTAGCTGGGTTCAGGAAATAAAAATAGGAGCAGAAAGGGAGATAGTTCCTGCCCTTCTAATGAATGAAGAGTTGGTTGTTTCATTGTCTCCATTTTGGAGTTTTCTTGGCAAAGATACTGTAGTGGTTTGCCATTTCCTTCTCCAACTCATTTTGCAGATGAGGAAACTGAGACAAGCAGGATTAAGTGACTTGCCCAAGGTCACACAGCTAGTAAATCTCTGAGGTCACATTTAAACTGAGGGCTTCCTGACTCCAGGCCTGGCACTCTCTGGTTCCCCCTCGCTGCCCTCCCTAAAAAAGCTAGAAAAGGTTAAAATGAAGGTGCCTGGAGGCTGGGATGGGGAGGCAGTAAAGAGAAAATCCTAGAGGAGAATCTGGAGTGCAGGCTGGAGAGAAATTTAGACCTGGGAGGGTGGTGGTGGTGACGTCTATCCTTAAAACAGAGATTCTAGGAGAAGGAATCCAATCAGAGGGAGAGGCCACAGCCCAAGTGCGAAGTCCATGGGTGCAGTGAGTTTTTGGGCTGGTTAAGGTTTTTTTCCCCCCAGTTGTATCCAACTCTCCGTGACCCCATTTGGGGTTTTCTTGGCAAAGTTATTAGAGTGGTTTGCCATTTGTTTCTCCAGCTCATTTTACAGATGAGGAAACTGAGGCAAACAGGGCCAGGGTCATACAGCTAGTAAGTATCTGAGACCAGATTTGAATAAAGATAAGTCTTCCTGATTTCTAGTAGCAGAGCTCTATCCACTTTGCCACCTAGCTGCCCATGAAGTGATCTTCCTTATACCTAATGGCCAGATCTGATTACATTACTCCTCCGCTCAAAAATATTAAATGACATTTTTTAAACTCCCAATGAGGAAATAATACTCTGCAACTTAGTCTCAGAGTGGTTAGGGCTCTGAGAGGGTACATTTTGCCAAAGATCACAGGTGTCAGAGATGGAGCTTGAACCCAGGTCTTCCTTATTAAGATTATATACCAAGCTGACTCCTTTCCAGTCTCAAATATAATCCAACAGTTTATATCCTTACACTACTCTCTCAGTAATCCAGACCACAAACTACTTTTCTGGCCTTATTTCCAATTCTTCTCTTCAAGCATCCTTCATCTCTAACCAAATGATTACTTATTGTTACACGACACCTTTCTGTTGTTGCACGTTCTACTAAATCAATGCTTGTTAAAAATCCTACCCATTAATCCCAATTTAAAAGCCACCTCCCCAGAAAGCCTTCTATGATCTCTTCTAGATACAAATCAGGAAACCTTCCCCAACCCCTCTTAATTCCAGTGTTAATGATTTCCTATTTATCGGGTAATATAACTTGCTCTGGGCAGTTAGGTGGCACAGTGGATAGAGTGCCAGGCTTGGAGTCAGGAAGACCCGAGTTCAAATTTGACCTCACATACTAGCTGTGTGACCCTGGGCAAATCACTTAACCCTGTTTTGCCTCAGCTTCCTCATCAGTAAAATAAGCTGGAAGGAAATGGTAAATCACTCCATATCTTTGCTAGCAAAACCTCAAATAGGGTGTCAGGAAGAGTCAGAAATCACTGAACAACAATAACTTGCTTTGTATATATTTCTGTCCCCCATTAGATTGCAAAATTTTTGAGGTCAGGGACTGTTTCTTTCCTCTTTTTGTATCCCCTATGCTTTGTATAGTACCCGTAGTAGGTGATGAGGCCTAGAGGTTGGGGGTGCTGGAATCCCAAAATCACAACAAGCTGGTCCTGCCCAAAAGAATTTGACCAAAGCCTTCTTTCAGCCAAAGACAAGGTTTATTAAAGATCCGCCATATAAGCCAGACTCTTGAGAATCTGAGATTCTGTGAGGTATTAGCTAGATTCTAAGAATCAGGGCAGTAGCTAGATTTTAGGAATCCTAACCTCTTAATGGAGACAAGATGGACCTTATATACAGAAACACTTCGGGAGGGATCTAGGAGTGACCAAGTAGTTTGGGGTGACTGGAGGAGGGGGTCTAAGGAGGATCTCGATGGGAGTAGCCAGTAAGCTGGAGTGAACAGAACTCCTGGGACCCGGACAATGAAGCCTAGCTAGGATTAAGTGTGGGAAATGGCCAGGGGCCACAGGGAGGGCTAGGCTAGGTTAAGGGTAACAGAATTGAGAGATTGGGTGTAGCCACAATGAAAGGCTGGTTGATGGGATTATAGCCTCCGGTGAACTCCAGAGATTTGGCCAAGTGGGAAAGTCCAGGGTTTTTCCTTCCTGGGGGTCCAGATCTCAACCCCATTAGTAGGCACTGATAAATGTTGATAGGTTAATTGTTCCCTCTCTGAATTCCAGGCACTTTATGCTTTCCTTATGTAGTTATGTTCTATCTTGAAATATACTTGTGAATATGTCTTTATTTCTTTTCTTGCACAGTAAATTTCTCCAAGGTAAACTAAACAAGCATTTATGAAGTGCCAGGCACTAGACTGGGATGAAAGCATTCTTGCCCATAGGAAGTTTACATTCTATAGTAGGAGACAAGACTGGTTTACTTTCCTAGTGTTTTGAGCTAGCTAGGGCTAGATGAATGTCTCCTGCAGAACAGAAGTAGGCCGGGGGAAGGGGGAGGTGGGGTTGCCTCCGGACTGCTCCCAGGGCGGGGGAGGCGCAGACAAGGGGAGAGGGGGGGGGGTGGCGCGGGGGTACCTTCCCGCGGTGGAAGTCGGAACCTTGTTTCCGGCTCTGCGTGCCTGGGGGAGCGCGTTGAGCGTAGCACCGGGACGTCGGCTGCAGGCTGAGGCCGGGCGGGCGGAGCTGGAGCGGCGGCCGTGGCTGCAGAGCGGGCGGAGGAGCGAGGCCGGGGCGAGGGCTGGAGCTGGAGCCGGAGCTGCGGCTGCGGGACACTCGGGGCTTCGGGCGGCGGGGGCCGGGCGCCGGGGCCCGGCGACGGCGGCAGCGGCCATGGCCGAGAGCATCGTGAGTCACTTCCCCGCGGGCCGGCCGGTGCGGGCGGGGAGGGCGAGCCGAGCGGGGCGCCTTGGGATGAGGCAGCAGATTTCACCGCCGAGGCCTGCGGGGCGTGACCCAAGTCTCCCTCGCCCCCTGGCTCTCGGGCCTTCTGGCTTCCCCCTTCCCTGGCCCTGCCATCTGGGCCCTTTCTCTTCCTCGGTCTTCTCCGGGACGCAGCCTCCAAGAGACCTCCGGGGTCCGGGGGAGAGTCTGCCTGCCCTGGGGAACACCCCGACCTTGGAGGCCAGGAGAGGAAAAGTCCCAAATAAAGAGAGCCCCCCTCTCTCCTCTCCCAGAGCAGCGGCCACAACGCGACCCGGTCTCTTCCATCACCTCCCCTTTTCTCCTTTCTGCCCCCCACCTTCTCTTCCTCCTTACGAATTCCAAGGAGCAGAGTAGCTACAAATAAGGACACCAGAAAAAAAACTCCTCCTCCAGAGGAGGTTCAGAACAAAAGTACAGTAAATGTGACTTTCTGCTTTTTGATTTCCAAGAAAAGCTTGTCAAATGCTTGCCTAAAAGGAAGTTCATTTTTCTTTTCCTGACTTGTGCTTGGAAAATGAGACTTTATCGCCCCTTAAAACCTTACAGCAAAATTAAATCTTAATCAGAAAGCACAGAAAGTGGTTATTTTTTAGGCTGTGGTAAGTTTTAAGTGCTTTACCACAAGAAGCAAGTGACTCAGGAAAATTATCAGGGATGATTGGGGCAGTAGCATTTTGGTGGTAAATAATGCGAAGGGAAGTAGCTGTGGAGTGAAATGAGTGGTGTTTGGGTTTGGGGATGGTGCTTCTTGCACCTGCTGTTTTGGCAGCGCTTCGTGAAACCGGCTCTTGCTGGATATCTGTGTTGAGCCAAACTTCTTCGTTCTAGACTTTTCACCAACCTCACCTGCCTCTTTTTAGCTTTTTGTTTTATGGCACCAGATTCACTGGCGATTCTATCTTTGAGGAGGAAGAGAAGGAATAATATAAGAAAAATTAGGAAAACAAAGGCTTGATGCTTCTAAATAAATATAAGGTTGCAGAAATAAAAAAATAAGGTTACAGAAATCAAGTGACTTGGGACTAGAAATAGGTTACGAACTGTTGGTAGTTTAAAAAGTTGCATTAGTACCTTCCCTTTACAGGGAAACGAAACCATTCCATTTAGGGTAAGAATGGTCAGATCTTGTTACAGAAAAGTTCTTAAGTGAAAAAACCCACTTTTGTAAGGCTTTACCATCATTAATAAAGCTAGGTGTCTTGTGCAAATGTTTTGACTGTACCACTAAACGCATATACACATACTACACTTTTGAAATCTGTCTATTTTTTAGGGGAAAAATGAGTTTAGATAGTTTCTTCTAAAGAATATTGAATGTATTGTTGAGATAATCAAATCAGTCAAAAGTAAAGCCGAGGGTCTAACTGTAACCTATAGTCTAGGTCACTGGGGTGGGGAACCTGCTTGCAGCGCTGAGGCCACACATGGCCTTCTAGGTCCTTGGGGGTGCAGCCTTTTGACTAAGTCCAACTTTTACTAAACAAATCCTTTTATTAAGTGGATTTGTTCCGTGAAGTTTGGATTCAGTCAAAGGGCTGAACTTGAGGACCTAGAGCGCCTTGAGGCCACGGGTTCCACAACCCTGGACTCTAGGAACTTATTTAAAAATGTTTTGATAACTATTCTTCAGTATAGTTGTTTTCCTTTGTAAGTCTTTGTGTATGATTTTATGGATTTAAAAAAATTATTCTGAGAAGGGGTATATAGGCTTCACCAAACTTCCAAAGGGATCAGTGCCTCCCCTCCAAAAAAGGTTAAAGCCCCTAAAATTTTAATTCTAAACATTCTGTTTCTGTGAAGTACATACTAGCTATCATAGTAGTCCTTGTTTCATGTATGGAGAAATTTTGTAGTTATACTCAGGTCTGTGTCTCTTCTTGTGTCTTCTAGAACTAGTACAAATTAGTTTTATCTTTTATTACCAGAAACCTTGAAGTTGATTTGGGAGCATATACAGTTCTACACTGTTTAAAATGATCAAATCGGAATAATTTCTTTAGTTTGAGGAACTACTTCAGAAATCTGGGGTTCAGTCTCTTAGAGGAAAAATAAGTACCTTGTGTTTTTGAGCAGAATAGTTCAGGAATTAGTTTTAATATTCTTAATTATTGTGGGAGAACAGGCAGCTGAATATTTTTTCCTAGTTAATTTAGAACTAGAGGATTCAAATATTAATGGAAATGTTTTTATAAATATGTGTTTTACATTGAAATATTGAAGTACTTTTTAATGTGGAGACATTTACAGAAATCTGAATCCACATGTGAGATGAACAATCCAAAAATTAAAAGGGCTAGTCTGAGTTAAAAAGTTTAGGGTAAAACATAAATTTATGTTTTCTAAACTTTTAATGAATGGGATGTCCATAGTGTTCATCCAAAGAAATAAACTGCCTTAAACTTGGAAATTGACAACAGAGTTTTTTAGACAAAAGTTAGTGATTTATTAGACAAAAAAGACAAGCCCATTGTTACAGTATAATGAGTACTGCATTTGGAGTCAGAGGATCTGAGTTTGAATTCTGAGTCTTTTGCTTATTATCTGTGACCTTGGGAAAATCATTTCACATTTCTAAGTCTGTTTCCTTATCTGCAGAGCGAGGGGGTTGGACTAAACCTTTAAGATTCCTTTCAGCTCCAAATCCTGTGATTCTTTGTTTTAGGAGGACATGAATTAGTCTTGATGAATTCTATCCCAGAATGTGTCAAGTTCAAGGAGTAATGTGCCAGTGGGGCATTTTGCCATGTAATAGTGGAAATAATTTTATACAGATCGTACATTTCTCATATGAGTTAGCACTTTTATCCAATAAACAGTACAGTACATGTTGAGAAAAATAACTATAGCAGAAGTGCTTTCTGGCAGTCTGTTGTTGCATGGACAGTTTCTGTTCATATGGTTGGAGCAGCATTTATTTTTCCACAATATTGTCCTTCTGTTTCAACAGCACTCTTTGAATGAAGCAATAACTTTGATTCAAACATAAAATTTAAGTCCTCCTGGAAAATGGTGACCTCTCTGCCCAGTGGACAAACATATCTACTTCCCAGCTTACCATGTACCTAATCTTTTAGGCTTGCTATAAAAAGTATAGAGGCAGTGCGGTATAGTGGATAGAGCCTGGAAGACCTAGGACTCAATTAGTGGTTATGTGACCCTGGGCAAGTCACTTAATCTCTTATCAACTCAGCCAGCTCTTTAAAACTAAATTGCAGAGAAGTCACCTGTCTGCATTAGCAGAGGAAGTTTCCTCATTGGAAGTTCCCTACACTAGTGAAATAAAAGTCCCAGTTCCTATCCTCTCTTCCTATAAAAATGCATTAAGTTTTCTCTATTATGGCATAAGACTATGTTTCTTAATTCTTTTTCACTTCTTACCAAGGATAAGTGGTGGTTTGATTTCTTGTACTACAGGTCAGTCAGTGCTTTTGTAAAAGGATTCCAGAATTGAGTGAATTCTTTTTCAGAAGGACTTTGAATCTTCTTTCAGTGATAATTCATGTTTTCTTTCATGAATAAATCTCAAAGGCTCAGGATAAAAATAATCTCACTGTCCCAGATCTAGTCTTTTATAATTCCTAAAATGCAAGCTGTGTTATTCAGCACAAAACATAAAACCATTGCTCTTTTCAGAATAATCTCAAACTTGCAAGTCAGGCCATGCTTTTAAACAACACGACATTACCTGATGATGATTGCAAATCTTCCTTTTCACCATTTCATTTTCTAGAAAGAATTGATTTGGTATTGAGAAGGAAAAAGAGTGTGGTCCATGGCTTCTGAAGTTTGTGACAGTCTTTGTTTTAGTGCTGAAAAGCTACTGTCATTTTTGTCTGAACCAGGTAATGGGACAGGACTTTATGTTGCTTCTCAGTAACTCTTTTTTGTTTCATTTTTAACAGATAATCCGTGTCCAATCACCAGAGGGGGTGAAGCGGATCACTGCAACAAAGAGAGAAACAGCTGCAACATTTTTGAAAAAGGTACTTGTGACTTTGGTGTTTACCTTTCAGCAGTTTACCCTTCTCTGCCTGCTGTTCCCCCCCCCAACCCCCACCAGTGTCTTCTCTCACTTCTCCCCTACCCCTGTGGTCATAATTGGGTCGGCATTCTGTAAAATCCTGGTGTTGGGTTTGTAGCAAAACTGGTTGGCACTTGGGGTCTTGGAAGATGACTTGCTGGTGAAGCTATTAAAACATTTTTTGAAAAGTAAACGATATTTAATTTAAACCATATTTCCATTTGTTGTTGATGCTCTTTGTTACCTACCCATGAATTAGAAACAATTTGAATATATAAACAATATGAATAAAAGAAGAAAGGCCATAAAATAGTAACTGCAAGGCTCAAAGGGATCTTGCTGAAATTTTAAATTTACTCTTTTTGCTTTTTTAATCTGAATGATAGATGTTTGCTAGCATTTTTTTAGAAGTGTGAGATGATCCTGGTGCTCTATATGAGATCTCTTCATGGACTATATCAGAGAGATAAAAGATTTAACTGAGCTAAAGTAAAGTGACTTACTAAAAAGGTTGTAGGGGAGAGTATGAACTGGAAATAAGAAGAGTAAATCAAATTAATTATTCTTTACTTTGAATTTTTGAGGTTATGAGATTGCCACAAGCATTCTAAGATTTGACTTTTATTTGCTAGAGGCTTTGATGTTCAGTTTCAGAAATAGAATTATCAAACACTGTGAAACAAGAAACATCAACATTTGCTTTTTTCCTGAGGGGAAACTAGAAGACAGACCTTGGAGTTCTGCTGTTGATTTGCTAGCAGAAGAGGTTGATTTATAGTCCCAGTACTTCCCTCCTAGCAGTTTATGTTGCATCTTGCCTTTCTTAGGGAGAGTGCATACATAACAGCCCCAGCTGTTGATAGTCTGGAGGGATTATATTGATGGGATGTGATTTGTGAGCATTGTTGTTTCTATTCTCTTCAGCAGACCATCATAGAACACCTATTGGCCAGGTGAAATTTCCCAGAATTATTCATAAAAATAAAGACAGAACTGGTCTGAAACGTGCTTTTAAAGTGCATCCCACCCTGTCCCTTCAAAAAAATTGCCTTAAGAAAAGTAAGGGTAGTAAGTATTATTAACTCTTCCTATTCTATCTGTGTCACCATTTTATAAATAATCTCATTGATTAATATAAATGTCTTGTCATCTAGTCCTTAATAGCATCACACTTGATAACATTTGATAGCTAGTTTAATATTTTACTTTGTTTCACCTTGGGAATTTAGTATTTCCAACTCTGGTTTTTAAAAGTTTGTTGCATATATTTTGTAGAATTGTAGAGATTTTAGAGATTTTAGAGCTTTATTCAGATCTTCCACACAGCTCATTAATCCCTTCTACAAGATTTTGGATATTGTTTACCTTTGACTTTGTTGAAAGTTGTTTCAAGTTTCATCATTTACTTTGACTTGGTTTTTTTGTTTTTGTTTTTTAATTTAATGTATCCAGCTACACTTAAAAATATATTTTTAAAATCTTGGAAAAAACAAATTCATCAGAGACTTGCTTTTTAAAATACAAAACAAGAGAGAAGGAGCACTAAGGTGTTTCCCTAACTTCATTGTCCCTTTGTTCCAATGTGTCTTGCAAATGGCTGCCAAAGTAATCTTTTTAATGTGCAGCTTTGATCATGTACCTCCACCACTCAAAAACCTTCCATGGTTCTCTGTTGTCTATTGAATAAGCTACACCTCTGTGAGCTTCACAGCCAGGGCCCACCACAGTTTGACATCCACTTTCCTTTCTAGCTTAATCTGACAGTACTCCTCATTATATCTTTCATTATCCAGCTAAATTGGACTACTCATCATTCCACTGAATTTGTCTCACTTCTTTATTTCTTTGTGCTTTGCTCTGACCATAGACTTTATTCCCCATCCCCTGTCTTCCTGCTGAAATAATCCTCATCCTTTGAGACCCAGCTCAGGTATTACCTCCATTAGGAAAACTTCCATGATCTTTCACCCAACAGTGCTTTCTAGTTAAAAATATTTTCCTTGTAACTCTCATAGCAGTTCAGAAAGCACCTGGTAAGACATAAAACACTATATTAAATCAGGTATCGTTATTGTTATTGTTGTTGTTTCTCTAGTAAAGTCCTATTCTAATACATTGTCATGGTGTGAAGGTGACCCTGGATTCTTGAAGACTCTGCCAGCAAATCGCAAACTTTGGCAGGTCTTACCAAGCTGAATGGATTCAAATAGGGGCTTGGCAGTGGATTGTAGGGCTGGTTTCCAAGGTCCAGTCTAGCATAATTTAAAGAAACTCATCACCGGGAGTTTGATTTTGGGAGGAAGGGGTGGGGGAGAGCATGAAAGGATGGGGGAGGGGCATGGCAGATTATTAGGAAGACTTGTCTATTAACAAACAGAAGATTGAAATCTTTTTTGTAGTGGAAATGCCTACACTAATTAAATATGTATACTTGAAATATTGAAGTATGATCATTGCTATTTGTACCATTTCTATGCATTTATATTCTGATTTGTATTACAGTTACTTATCTTCTGTGTTAAATTATAAGTTATTGGAAGATAGAAACTTTTATTCATCTACCTTGTACATAGTCGATGCTTAATTAATATTGAATCAAATTGTGATTATATCTTTTGCTTTATATTTTCATTAAATTTATTTTAACCATATTTTCTGTTGACAATCTGTATGTTTGTTTAAGGGATTGGCTCCTTTTGAACTTAATTTCCTTACTCTAATTGACTCTTTGAGCAGTTGGCTCCTTTTGAACTTAATTTCCTTACTCTAATTGACTCTTTGAGCAGCATATATGTAGGAGGTGCCACCTGTCTTTCAGAGGGAATTCATTTTCTTGGAAACTACTCAAAAGTTAGCAATATAGTAATGAAGGATCCCATCAAATGCAGTATTTTCTGAACCTAAGAACTTAGAAAATCTGGGTGTGTTCTCACGCTCGCATGTGTGTTTGTGTGTGTGTGTGTGTGTATGTTTATTTATACCTTTGTTGTTTTGGGTTTTGTTTTAGGTTGCAAAGGAGTTTGGCTTCCGGAATAATGGTTTCTCAGTTTACATCAATAGAAACAAGACAGGAGAGATAACAGCATCACCAAACAAATCCCTCAACCTGTTAAAAATTAAGTAAGTACTCAGTGGGGAGAGTTTCATGTGGCAAGTGTTGTCTGCTTGAGGTAAATTCATTTGTAACTTATCTCCTCAGGGCAGTCTAGATACTTTCCTATTTACAGACCAATATATGGGCTGTCATATTTCTTACAAGGTGTTAAGCAGTCAAACTGAGTCTGCAGTTACTGTTGAGCTAGATTTGATTGACTTGCAGTATTCTGAGAGGTATGTCATTGAGGGAAAAGATTTGTAGCCTAAGTTTACTGAGAATGGATAAGCTGCACACTCAGCTTCTTAGGAACAAAAGACCTGGAATGTAGTTCTTTGGGAAGAAATCAAGTCAATTAACTTTATACCTGAAGATCTCCGTTGTGCATGAGCGCCAACGGTGGTTTCCCCACAAGCAGCTGTGTTTTTTTTTTTTTTTGAGGTAGCAGAATCCTCTTGAAGACATTGCTTCCCTCTGTAGCCAGACACCAGAGCCAGTGGGGACTCCCAATCTATAGTATTCTGATTTCACTATTGTTCCACACTGAAGCAGGTTTTCTGGATGTACTGTGATCACATTTGTAGCCTGCAGAACCCTTAAGTTAGTACAATCCCAAGGCACTATGGGTTCCAGGGATCTCTTTCTTGGAGGACTATATGGCATGAATTCTGTGGCTCTCCGGTGTATGTTTGGTGTGTTGCTATGTGGCCAATGTTGTATGGGTCTAATCTGTCAAGAAGTAGATGTTCTGTAATGGGCATTAAGATCTTTATAAAGCTTTTTGAACATTATACTTAGAAGAAGCACATGATAGTTTAGTGCAAATTATAGGCATCTTTAGTGTTATTCTAACACGTAATAGGTGCTTAATAAATGTTTTTGATTGATCTCACATGTAACATTACTCTGACCAGTGTCATTTCTCATATTAATTTGTTATCAGCAAACCTCATTATAATATTGCAGGACCCTGCTGTTTGGCCAATTGTTAGAGTTGCAAATTGTGTAGTCAGCAGTAATCCTAGATAATAGTTGAATTGCAATGAAACTAATTCTCCTGAGCATCAGTTTCCATACTGGGGGCCATATTGCTTATTTACATATGCCTTCCTCTGCTGGAACTACTGCTCCCTCATAATATTTGCCGATGTGTTTTCCAGGAACCAATTAATGTTATGTCAGTTATTTATCATCAGCATTTATTAAGCATTTTCTATGTGCCAGACATACAAAGAAAAGTGGAAACACTTACTGCCCTCAAGGAACTCATATTCTAGTGAGAGGGACAACATGCAAACAACTATGTACATACAAGATATATACAGAATAGAGAAAAGGTAATCTTGGGGGAAGGCACTGGCAGTGTGGGGGACCAGGAAAGGCTTTCTGAGGAGGGTGGGATTTGAGCTTAGTCTTAAAGGAAGCCAGGACAGTTAAAAGGCAGAGGTGAGAGAACTTTTGGCTTGCTAGATATCTAGTGCAGAGACACTGCTGGAGAAGGAGGCTTGTGTGTGAGGAACAGGAAATGACCAATGTCGATGGAGTGTGGAGGTCATGGAAAAGGTAGAAAGAGGTCAGGTTGTGAAGGGCTTTATATATCAGGCAGATTTCATATAGAGGTCATAGGGGACCAGTATATGCATTTCTGTCATTGGAAATGTTTGTGCTCCTCAATTTGTAAAGACATATATTACATCTTAAGAACTATCTTTCAGGTGTTAGGTCATCTTTTATCCTGTTCTGGCTTTTTGGTATTGGAGAGAGTGGGAAAGATGGAACTCTATGTAGGGCAAAGGAGATGAAAAGAACTAATAATACTTTAATAAAAATATTAACAATAATAGTAAACTGACTTAAAAGTTTGCAAAGTGTTTTATCTATATTATATCATTTGTGCCTTACAACAGCTGTATAAAGCAGGTCACAGTTTGTAGAAGAGTTAGCATAAGCTTAGCAATCATAAGTGACTTGCATGGGCTCACACAGGTAAACAGCAGAAATAGAATACAAACCAGAGTCCTTTGAACTCAAATCCATGCAGTTTTTGGTTCTAAACATGTATAAGTCAAGTATAATTAGTAAGTAGATGACACAGTAGAAGTGGATTGTCTTAACTTCTTAATTTCATACCCCATCTCTATATACCTGAAGTGCTTTGAGGCCCAGGAGCCTCTAGGATGATTAAAATAAAGTGCTTTAGCAAAGATAATTTTTATATAGTACCAGATTATAGTACTTTGAATTTAGAGTGTTAATTGGGTTTTCTTTTGAGTCACCAGTATAAATCTGTGCTAGAGAACATATTTTACATTTAAAATGATGGAAAATTTGCTAACATTTTGTTTTTTGGAGTGTAGGACAATTAGAGGTGACAAAGCAATAATTTTTTCTTATGCTAAAGAACATATAAAACGAGAGGATGCTGGCATAATGAAAACTGAGACTTCATTATAATAGTTGACACAATCATTTGCTTATGTTAGGGGACCCTATGTATTTAGTTTGATTTTGTAATTGGGCTCACTGAATTACTATTGATAAAAGCATATATTTGATGTTTCTTATTTGAATAGACATGGCGATTTGTTGTTCCTGTTTCCCTCGAGCCTTGCTGGACCCTCATCTGACATGGAAACTTCCTCCTCCCAAGCATTACGTGCTTGGGGAGCTCCCAATGTGGTAGAAGATGAGATTGATCAATACCTTAGCAAACAGGATGGAAAGATTTACAGGAACCGAGACCCACAACTGTGAGTGTGATCATATAGTTCATTTCTTTCTTCTTTATTTAAGCAATCTTAATAAAGACAAATGATAGGGATATATAGGGGGCCAGTGTGGGCTGATAACCAATAAAGCTAGGCACTGGAGAGTAAGTCTGAGTCTAATCAGTATCTAATAAAAAACTCAAGTATTGAATTTGAGTAGTAACATCTAAATCATTTCTCAGATAAACTTACATCAAATAATTTGGTTAGTTTTCTCTCAGAGACTCAAAATTTCTCTTAACATGCACTTTCAGAAGAAATTTGTAAAGTCCTGGGAAAAAGTTTGAAAAATGACCAAGGGAAAAAAGAAACTTTAAGTCATTCCCTAAGAGTGATTATACTTGAGATCTACACTCTAAAAACTTCATCATTTAGGCAGCAAAATGAGGCTTGAACAGTTTGAAATGGGTAGAATTGAATTATTTGCCGAAAAGTTATGACTGTAGTTTGGATTTGTAATAAACATTTTTAATAACATGTAAGTAGGATGGTCCTTCTACTTTGAGTTTTTCATTGCTCAAGAAGTCACTTATTCTCTAAATGTTTATATAAATCACATGCTTATGTAAAATGTATGTGCACTCATACACATATTGAGGTGTGGTTTTTTTTTTAAGAGACCAAGCAGAAATCTCTTGGTTTATGCTCAGAGATTTCAACATATCTCTGAGAGAAATTGTTTGTCTCTGTTGTACTGGCTCTTTTTTAACTATATAATTTTGTCAGTATGATGTAGTGCTGACATTGAAGAATTGAGATTCCAAATGCTGCATCAGCAACTTTTATTTCTTAGATTAAAGAACCACAAGTGGCACTCAGTTATAGTTGGCTTTTATCCATGTCTCAGCTGTAACCATTAGCAGCACTCCTTCTACATTTGGGTTTCCTTCTAGGAACCCATTACTAGCCTTCCTTTTATTACCTGTAGCTTCATTGGAAATCTTTTCAAATTGGAATGTGCATGTGTTTTTTAAACTTTGACATATTATCAATAGGAAGTTATGTAGTAGAAGACATAGAGTAGAGGTGATGGGACAGAATGCATGGGTATGGAACACTTGCATATGTGTCACATTTTTCCGTTGTAATGATCAGTTTTGCTGAATTTTTTTTTCTCCTTTTAATTTCTTTTTAAAAAATTTTTTTGTTATAAGGAATGACTTTCCTGGAGTAGAGAGGGAGATAGGAGAAATTTAGGTGAAAAAATGCAAAAGATATTAGTAAAAATCTTTTATAAAGAAATTATGAAAGCAGAAAAAAAGATGTTCTTAAACATCTTTAAAGCTTTCTACATAATCATGTTTTAAGTGATGGATGTATTTTTTTAATGGGGAAAATGGTAGGCAGCAGCAGAAAAACAAACTAATCTATGTTCATTATTTTTTGGCCTATGGTCTTCCTAGTTGCCGACATGGTCCTTTGGGAAAGTGTGTGCACTGTGTACCTCTCGAGGTAAGAATTTTTATGAGAGAGAGAGAGAGAGAGAGAGAGAGAGAGAGAGAGAGAGAGAGAGAGAGAGAGTGTGTATGTGTGTGTGTGTGTGTGTGTGTGCGCACATACGTGTTGTGCATGTTTTAGTGTTGGTTGATAGTCTCTTTCATAGAACTATCTAAATACTTTCCCTAAATCTCTCCTTGATCAGTAGTAGCAGTTTGAAGAACTTAACGTATTTATTGCCATGGGCCTCATATTCCCACCAGTGTGAGCTGCAGAAACAGGATGAGTCCTTATTTATGGTAGTGACCTTCTCTGCAGATTATGTATGGTTAAAGCATTTGTTTTACTGTGATAAAGAGACACCATTTACAATGGACTCCCCAGCCAATCCTTTTAAAAAACTGACACAAAGCTCTGCTTGTCAGTTTTTATGCTTGTCATTGTATTGATTTACTTCTGCCTCTAATCTTAGGTCTCCTCTACCAATTTGCCCTGTTGAGATTAAGAGTTTCCATGATAATGCTGACTGGTAACTAGGAGCCCTGAATTTATAGCAAGACCACCTTGATTTTCTGGATAGGCTTAGCTGACTTCTTGTGGCACTTTTTTTGTTAAGTTCTTCCTTGAATTGGGGACTTTTTTTGGTGGAGCAGATATAAACATAAGGAGGAAATCTGTGGGATTTTGAACAGAATTGTAAATTAAAACGATGCATCCACTTTTTTTTTCTGTCACTAGTGCCTGGCTTATAGAGGGAGCATGTGCTGCTAGATTATTTTTCTGTAAGCAGTTGAATCCAGTTTGCTTGTTTTTCAGTAACCAGCATGTTTTTAGACAGGTGCATAACCAGACTTTTTTTGACATTTGCATTTTGGCAGCCATTTGATGAAGATTACTTGAACCATCTTGAACCTCCTGTGAAGCATATGTCCTTCCATGCCTACATTCGAAAACTGACCGGAGGGGCTGATAAGTAAGCAATTAGACTACAATGATTTCATCTTAACAGAAAGGAATGCCTTTTTGCATTGCTAGCAGTCACCCCATGATTGCCACCAGGTATAGGAATGATAAAAACAGGGTTGATTTAGTTTGTCATATGGGAAGAAACCCCTAAAATAGTTAATTTTGTTCAAATTAGGGGGAAAAAAGTTAAGTTAGGGGATTGCCAATTAGCTAACCAATGGTAGGTGGCTCTGAAGTTCAGTGGAGGTGTCTGTGAGGGGCTGTATGGCATGATATAGACAGTATAGTACTGGAGAGTCAGGAAGACTTGGATTTGAACCCTACCTCCAATGTGTAGTAGCTCTTTGACCCCCAGACAAATGATATAACCTCTCTGGGCTTCAGGGACATGGGGGTATATTGATGATCTCTATAGTCCTTTCTGGGTCAATATCATTCTGTGCTTCTGGTCCAAAAGTTAGAAACCCCAAATAACAACCGTTGAGGAATCGTAGTGGACAATTTTAATGATCTTATCAGGCTCTTGGGTGTAATACTTAAAGGGGGTAGATGAATAAGCTAGAGTTTTGTGCAGTCTAAGACCACTCTACTATGGAAACATAGCAGGATGGTTTTGGCTCGTGAATTTCTCAGCCTTTACTAACTGTTCTGGTTGTAGCTCTACTTTTCCAGTTTCGTTATTATTCTTACAGAGGAAGTTTGGTTGTGAGCATGATGGAACTTTGGCAGTTGGAATTGAAAACAGTTTTCCTCACTAATTAAACGTCAACATGGGAAAAAAAAATGTAGCCCTAGCCAGAATTGAGTTTGGCGGTGGCAGAAAAAGAATCCAGTTTAAAACATTTTGATCCAACCCATTTTGGACATTGCCTGTGGGGTTTTCTTCTGTGTGCTAGAGATACACCATATCAAACAAGTGAATTTCACCTTAGTCTTTTAACATTCTTGTTAATGTAGTAAGACTAGGCAGTGATTGAACTCAGATCTGCAACATTTAGTGAAGAAAGCATTGTCCATTTGATGGCGGCTTTTGCTCTGACAAGCCATTGATATCTTAGAACACTTTTCTTTGAGTCTGTTTTGGAGGTAAAATAGAATCTCACTCTTATTCTTGCATGCCAGCATGTAAAACTGTAAATTGCCAAAATAAAAGCAGGGAGGTTTACTTAGTGGGACTTTAACTTTGTAAGGCTTTTATTAATTAGAGGGAGGGGCAGTGACAGATGGACCATGAACATTTTTTATTAATTTTTTTTTTAGTCTATAGTGGTGTTATGAAAAATCTGTTGTAGTAGGGGAGGCATTTATTGTGACGTCTGGAAAAATGGACTTCATGTCTGCAAGTGTACATTTATGTCTCATTTGCTGATATGCTGGCCTATTATTGATTATGAAAATAGATTAACCATACCATTACGTTCACTTGTGTATTTTTAATACTTTGCGTTCAGGAAGACTGGCACCCTGTGATGAAGTTACTTGTCCAGATTCAACAAAAGCTAGTCAGTGATAGAATCAGATGTATAACTCTTGCTTTCTGGGTCGTTGCTCTTAACTTTGGTTTTGGCAAATAGAACGATTTTGTGTTTAACTGAACTAAGGTATGATTTTCTCACCAATACCTGTGCATTTTTCCTGAATTATTTAAATGACTGAGATAGGTAGTTTAGAATTACTAGGATAAAAAGTTGATAGCTAATGAAACTAATTAAAGCAGCTTTGGAAAATTTTTAGAGGATAGTATAATATAGCCAAAGAAGTAGATGTTAAACAGTGTTCTTGAAAATAGTCATAGATGTCAGTGATAATAGATAGGTGTTGGCAATAAAATATTAGGTTTTTATGATAAAACTGGTTTTATCCCTGTTGAATCCAAATGAACAGAAGCTCATTTTTTTAAATGTGCAAGAATTTTAGCTATTTGCAATAGAATCATTTTTAGCACGTACTTCCTCTCCTGCCTGGCAGATGTTTGACTCCTTAGAGAGGATCCTGTTCGTGAAATATAAGGTATTTAACATACTCTTTTGCATCTCTCTCTGCTCTCCCCAGGCCACATTTTGATATTTAATTAAAGCTGCTTTTTATTTAGGGGGAAGTTTGTTGCCCTGGAGAATATCAGCTGCAAGATTAAATCCGGTTGTGAGGGACATCTTCCGTGGCCTAATGGCATTTGTACCAAGTGCCAGCCAAGTGCCATCACACTGAACAGACAGGTGAGTTGTTACATTGTAATAGAAGACTTTCAGAAAAGTGTCTCTTAAGCACCTAGTATACAGGCAATAAGCATAAAAGGCACTTTATGATTGATTGATTTGTTGACTCTTCTGAGGTCATCAGATATCAGAGAAATTCAGCTCTTGAGGGGACAGAATCTTAGACTGCAGGTTTTCCTTTTTCACTGCACTGTATAGTACAGTGTTCTCTCTTACTTGATAATGTCTAAAATATCATCAGTGTTTGTCTTGTACTCTGTGCGGTAGAGACTGGCAGGCTATAGCCCTAATTTGATTCCCTCTGAGATAAAACAATTAACAAGCTGTTCCTTTTTGGTGCTTCTGAGTGCTTAGCAAAAGGTAAGTTTTGGGTTATAGATCACAATGGAGAACAAACTTCCTAACTCAAGGATATAGTAAAAGATGAAAATCAAATATAAAGCTAATCAGAATATTCTGTACTCATTACCCCTAAATTAGAGTACTTTCCTACATGCCTTTTCCCACTTGCCTCTCCAGTGACCTCCCCCTCCCTTTTTCCCCCTAGTTTCTTAAGCATTGTGTATTTTATTTTCCATAAAAGTTATTTGAGCCAACATTTTAATAAATAATCCTTTAAGACAGAGGTTCTTAACCTGCGTCCGTGAACTTTTAAATATTTTTATAATTATTTCAGTATAATTGATTTTCTTCATAATCTTATGTATTTTGATACATTCCAACAAGGATCCCTAGGCTTCACCAGCTTCCCATAGAGGACCGTGACACAAGAAAGGTTAAGAACCCTTGCTCTGAGGTGAATTTGAGTTTTTGTAATGTTAGTATTCCTCTAAGACTCTGGGTAAGAGTTTACCCTTCGCTGATTATCTTGGTTTGGATGTCCAGTAAGTGCATTGATTTCTCTTAGTCTCTTTAGTCCCATCACTGTTCCTGCAGCAGTGTTAGTATTTAAAGCTTCCTATTATCCCTTCACTTTGACCCATCTTTATTCCAGATACTTATTAGTTTTATTATTGATACTTATTTTTTAATGCTAATTTTTGGTCATGTTTCTCCATGAAATAGTATATGTAGGAAATAGGGTTATAAATGGGGATTAATCTGGGAAAATAAATTGAATACTGTGACTTTCATGAATCTCTTGGAGTGAAAGTCATCCTGGTGAACCTGATTCATTTGTTTCACAGAAATATCGGCATGTAGACAACATCATGTTTGAGAATCACACGGTTGCTGATCGTTTCCTTGACTTCTGGAGAAAGACTGGGAACCAGCATTTTGGGTACTTGTATGGACGGTATACAGAGCATAAAGACATTCCTCTTGGCATTAGGGCTGAGGTTGCTGCCATTTATGAACCCCCTCAGGTACAAACAAACAAACAAAAACCTACAGGATCTGATAATTCATTGCCATCATTTTTTGTAGAACTAAAAGAAATCAGATTTCACCTGCATTTCCTATTCCTGAAGGCCGTTTGAATGCCATTTTTAGTTAGCATTTCTAAATTTTCATGCTAAAAGTTTTCATTTGAATTCTTAAGGGCCCTCCCCTCCCCATTTCAGTTAAGACCAAATAGTCCTGTTCACAAGAGATAGCTTCCAAAGATGTGTACATTCATTCAACTTTGGAGTGGAGCTAGAAGCATTTATAGCATATTGGGTTCTGTTTGCAGTGACCTCATTGCTTGTCATGATGCTGGGGTGCTGAGAATTTGACAGCTCTACATAGGTGCAGTGTATGCTGCTAGAAAAGACTTACAGTTTTCAGACCATTTGCTCCTTAGGCCTCATCTTGCCTGTGGATGCAGTATAAGATGAGTTTTGGGTGCTCAGACTGTGTTAGATGTGACCTGTCTTTTTATCTGATTTTTCTAGAGCATTTCATTTATGGTTCCTAAGCAGGAAATCCAGCCAATAGTAGTTACTACAGAATGTAGTTAATGAATAGTATTAATTATGGCCACTAGTTGGAACATGGAATGTCTTTGGTTGCCACATATGTGTCATGTTTGTCTGGTAATATTATGAAATGAAATTTAAACCTCACATTGTATTTGAGAACATAGTGTAGGATGTTGTGGGCCTTTTTTTTTTCCTTCTCGTGATGATTCATCATTTTGCAAAAGAGTCACTAGGTGGCAATGGAGACACTGCTTAAGAAGCTTGGTTACTTTCAATTTAGATGACATATTATACCATCTTGTGAAATTCCAAATTTGTAGATTATTTATCTGGAGCTATTTATCATAAACTATTAAAGTTTTAAAACATTGTTTTAAAAGTAACAGTTTTAAGAACATTTACTTGTAATTTTTTCCTAAGTTAAAATGGCTCTACCACATTCAACTTAGTGGAATAGAATGATCAGGTCTCTAATTTGGAGATCCTGAATGTTGGAACAGTTGACCTTCAGCAACCCTTGAGCTCATTAGGAGTTGAAGCTCATGCTGCCACATGTCATTAAACAAGTACTTTTCTCTAGATTTGTAATAAAGTCTTCATTTGACCTGTGCCCTAGAGGTATTAATGATCTCCATATGGGGGATATTCAGACCAACATAATGGCACGTTTGTTGGTTTGACAGAATTTGACTAATTTACAAGGATATATTCAATTAGTAAAACTCAATCTTGGGATTAACTTTGCCTTCCCACTCCTGCAACTGGGAGCTCTGCTAAGTATGATACTTATTCTTAATGAGCTACAAACTGCATTTAAGTGGAGATTAAAGTTCTTTAGTAAACTTCTTGACTACTGGGAAATAGGAGAGTTGATGTTCTTTGATCAGTTTGTATGTCTTTAGGTATTATATTTCATATGAGTAAACTCATCTCTAGAACACGAGGGTTAGTTAATTTGTCACACACCTAAATCTCCTGGCTACTGTGGTATAATAAATAAGGCCCATATTTTATGGATCCTTTTGAATTTTTCTGGATTGATATCATCTCTTTTTCTCTCCTACATAATATTTTGTATTCTTTTATCTTTCAATATACTTTTAATGGCAGAGTGGCCATTAAGCTAAGTGTCGTTTTTAAACAAACCACACAAATATATTTTTAAGGCTGTTACTTTGGGGTTTTTTGTCTTATCACTTGCCTTGGCTTTAATTTTGCTCTTAGCTTCAGTTGCTTCTGAACTGAACAAGCTCATCATTTGGAACAGGATTGCACTTCTAAAAATTACTTTTTTCAAGGGGGGAAAAGGTGAGGACAACCTTCCATTAGTCTTTAGTGACAGTATACTTAGAAAAAGAGCTTTTATCCTAAATCTAAGCCAGTATAAACATTCTGTTTATGTTTTTTTTTCTACTTCTTTCTCAGCAAAGCTACATGCTTTTGCAGATTTGGGAAAACCTGAGAGAGTTTGCCTTTGTTGGTTGTGTAGAGTTCTTTTTCTGCCTGGACAATTCTCCTTTTCAGCATATTTGCAGCTCTGTGCATCCTAATGAGATGAGAGTGAAGAGGATACCTGTGGTTCTGGGTATCAGTCCAATGGTTACTCTACAATGTATACTGTCTTTCTAATTCTCCCACAGATCGGTACACAGAACAGCCTGGAGCTCCTTGAAGATCCCAAAGCTGAAGTAGTAGATGAGATTGCTGCCAAACTTGGCCTGAGAAAGGTATTGGAGCCTTCTGTCAGCTAGTCTGAGTCTTTGCAGGAAGAAATGTTAGGGTATTGTAATGGGTGAATGGCAGGCAGGAGGGGATTTGTCTCATCTGGGATCAATTCTCTCCAGCTGCACAAGGTCAGTTGCAGACCTGACACATTTTGAAGCCTCATTTGTGTTTATTAGGCGCCAATAGCTTTTATGCTTTTTGGCCTTAAAGTGAAATGAGAACATTTCCCTGAGCATAAAAAGATCCAAATGCCAGAGCTGTTGTACTTTAAGTCGTCAGCTACCCTTCTTGAGGATTACATTAAAGAGCAATCGAAAGGAGACCCTTTCTTTTCTATCCCTGGCAGGAGTATATTCCTGGAGTATTTCTTTTGCCATTACTACTCTGATACTGTTCCCTGTCCTGGTTTCTCTTTTCTGTAGGGCTTTGTATATATTTTTTGAGGTATTAGTACCCTCAAGGATTCAAATCCCTCTAAATTGTTCATTTTCTTTTCTCTATGGTTGTAGGTTCTATTCAGTTGTCATTGAATTTTCTGTTCAAAAGCCTAAGAAGGCAAGTCTTTTACTGTTTTACTTAGTTTAGCCAAAAGTGAAAACAGAGGAGAATTTTCCCTTTGGTTGCTTATACTAAACCTTTGTAAAGTTGCTGGGTACTGTGGAGATAAGTGAAAAGAAATGTGTGAAATATATGCATGAACATGACATTTTGGAAATTGCAGTGTGGTGCAATGGAGAGAACACTGAACTTAGAGTCATAGGACTCACATCCCTGCTTGACCGCTTACTACCTTTGTGACCTTGGACAAGTCACATAACCTTTCTGGCTTCAGTTTTTTCATCTGTAAAATGAGGGGGTTGGACCTTCTATCTCTAGGTCTATGAGATTGTGACCCAACTAAATTTAAATGTCAATGGACTTGTAAGTCTGACCTAACAAAGTTTAAACATCAAGACTTGTAAGTCATATTTTGATTCTTCATATTTTTGGGTCAGTCTTCGTTGGCAGTGGAAATTAGGTTCCTACAAATTTAGGGGAGAAAACTTAAAATGATTTCAAACCTAAAGTAGGGATCTTTGCACCAAAGTTCTGTCTTCTCAAGGTTCTGTCTATCTCTTCCGGCTATCCTCTCTTGAAAGAGAAATTATTTTGTGTCCATTTCTTCTACAAACCTGTTAAGGGAACAGGCACTTTAAGTGCCTACTTTGTGCTAGGCATTGCTAAATACTTTACAGATACCTCATTTTATTGATAACTGATGATCATCATAGCAGCTTTTAGTTTTTAAATCTTTTCCCAGACAGACTGAATTCCTAATTTGGCCTTTATAATGTTTCATTTACTGCTTAACCAAACTTGTACCATAAGCTTTATTTTTCGTTGTTGCCAACCTTCTCCAGTTTTTTTTTTAAAGAAATTCCAGATTTAAAACCTTTCCTGATCTTGAGATTCTGATCTTCCAGCTTGAATTCTACTGCATTATTACTTGTGTGTTTCTGAATTAATACTTTGCTATAGCATTATAGCATGCTTATTCCATTCCTGAACTTCTTTTGGACTAAGTCTTTTAGACTTAATCTCTCCTCCACCTCCCCCTTTCTTTCTTTGAGCAGCTTTTTTTAAAGTCTGGCAAGCAGAATTAGTCATATTGAACTCAGGTGGCCATATTACATCAGCTGTGGCAAATGATACTAAATGTTCCCCGAGTAATTGGTGCTGGTGCTGGCGCTGGTGCTGGTAGTGGGTTGGGATGTGTATGTCTGTGTGTCTTTTTGTAAGAGATGAAAGTGTTCTCTTCAGCTTCTCCCCATTCCAGGCTGGTGGATGTGACTGGAGTACTTTAGCTGGGAAAGGTATAATCCAGGAAATTTTACATTGCTCTTTTTCCTAGTTCTTATTTAAGACTTTTGTCTTCTGAGGTATGATTGGGACACCAACATCCTTTGTAGTTTCTTCCTTTCTCCCTCCCTCCCTCTCTCTATCCCTCTCTCCCTCCTTCTGGCTTACTTCCTTCTAGATGGGAATGAGTAGAAGTTGGCCCAAAGAGGAGTCTGGTATTCTTTGTTATTTGCTGTAAATATAATCTTCAAGGTTATGAGAAAGCTAATTTTTAAAGATTCAGAATTGAAAATAATGTTTTCTTCATATAATTGTTGGCACTTAAAGAAGCATTTTTCCTCCTAATTTTGTGACTACAAGGAGCTGTTCCTTGGTTGAGGAAGTTAATTAGATTATTGGACCTAGAATTTTTTCCATGATCAAATCCCACAAGAAGATAGAAACTTTGCCCTCCCTCCTGGCCGGTATAAAGAAGCATGGTGAAGTGCAAAGAGAGACCCAAGTTCAAATTCTGGTCAGATCGCTTAGTATCTGTGTGACCTTGGGCATGTCAATTACCTGTGCCTCAGTTTCCTCATCTGTAAAATAGAGATAATAATGCTGATGATCCAGTTGTGCTAGCTACCTCTCATGTTGTTGTTTTGGGAAAAGTACTTTGTAAATCTTAAAGCAATATGTAAATGTGTGAGATAGTTATTTCTTTCCAGCCTTTTTGATTTCATGAGACATGAGGCTTTATTTGTCAACTGGGTACCCCATGGTGGCTGAGAAAAATTAGTTTTGAGAGGAGGAAGGATGTGTTTGGTGGAGGGTCAGTGTTAACGTCACTTACTACCTCCTGGGGCAGTCTTCTGAAACAGATGAGGGAACCCAGATGTCAATAAATCAGATATTTTAAACTAGATGGAAACTAATCTTCAATTATTGCTTGCTCTATATAAGATGTGTGGGGAGTATTAGCAGCCAAGTCAGATGCTTTGTTGTTGTGTACAACCTAAATTCATTCCATATTCTCATACCCAAGTATGCTGCAGCTGTTCCCTTTCTCAGCCTCACTCTTATCCACTTCCATGCTCTCATGCCAAGTCCCCAAATGCACTTCCAGGGTTTCCAAGCTCCACATTCAACACTTTCACCCCGTTACTACTGCATAGGTTCTCAGTCTCCTATTCACTCCCAGACCACTCCCCTCCTCTTATGCCAGGTCCTAAAATGCACTGTGGAGCTTTTCAGGTTCCACACCCAATCACTTTTGCCTCACTACAGCTGCTCAAGAGAGCCTCACACTTGCTGTTAGGTATTTCCACACATGTACCTTGATTGCAACCATTTATTCTCCTTCCACACTTATGTCCCACTGGGCCTCCAAACCACCTTGACAGACACCAGTTCTTTGTCTCCTTCTTATGCTCTTGATTACTCCCAGTGGAAGTGCAGTCATTTGTTCTCCACTGTGGTACTACGTGAAACTTCACAGCATCAGAAGGGGAAGAAATCTTCCTGCAACAGGACTGCACTTGCTTCTGTCTTCCCCTTTCAGTTCTGCAGTATCCCAGGCTCTTGTTATGCATAGGCAAAGGGTGAGAGCTTTGAAAAGAATATACTTAATTCTCAGAACAAAGAGAGTGAAGAAGAGCTGTGAATGAAGATAGAACTTGGAGGTAATGTGGCTGAATTGAAATGAGTACTCCTGCGTCTTCTGATGTGAGAGTTGAATTCTCAGTGATAGATTCTGATTCAGGAAGCTTTGTGGACAGAATTCTTTGGTGATCAAATTAATGATGCAAGATAGTGCAAGGAAAACTGCTGCTCACAAGTGAATTCTTAGTGATGCCCTGTTTCCTGATGGAAACTCAGCTTGCATTAGAAGAATTTTGTGACGTAAAATTCATAGATCTTCTGGTTTAAATAGATACAAGCCCAAAACATCATGGACTGGTAAGATAAGGTTCTTCTCTTTTAGAGAGACATCCAAAAAAAGACGTGTATTTTCTCTTTTATTAGGTTGGCTGGATATTTACAGACTTAGTCTCAGAGGATACCCGAAAGGGTACTGTCCGATATAGCCGCAACAAGGTAAGCAAAATTCAGTGTAAAGTGAAAAGTTTCTACTGTTTTTAGCTTAATCAGCTAGTTTAGACTAGAAATTTTTGTAACAAACAAGGTACTTTTACAGTCGTCCACTGAGTTTCATATTAAATTATTTTCCAAAAGAGTCTCTATGGTAAATTAGAGCTGGAGTTGTTGACCCTCCTGATGTTAGTGGCATGTGATCCATTTTTATCTTAATAGGTATATTTTATCTGTGTGTGTTCATGGGAGATGCTGTATGCTGTTTCAGAGTAGCAATTCTGGATAGTCAGTTTCAGTGAATGTCATTCATTAAATGCCTACTATGTGTGAGGCACTGTGCTTTGTGCAGGGAGTGTAAAAGTGAAATCAGACAATGCCCCTAAGGATCTGGTAAATATTAAATTAGATATGGACACAAGTAAGTACAGTGTACATTAGAATACAAGTCCACAAAAGAGTTCCAAACTGAAAGGCTACAAGAGATTTGAGGAGAGATCAGCTGGACCTTGAAGGAAGAAGAAGATGTAAGTGGACAGACATGAATGTAAAAGGGAGTCTACTCCAGGGAGTTGAGGTGTTTTTTCCTTCCTCTCAGTTAAAAATGATCTCTCCCTTATATTGTGTCAGAAGGCCTTTTCGCTGTTTCTTCATCTTTGTATCCTAAGTGTTCACCTAGCATTGTGCCATTCATGTAGATGATTACTAAATGGTGATTGAATTGGATTGAATTTTTGTCTCAACACTTAAACATTACTGTTCTTGCATTATATTCTGTTGAAATGGAAAGGAAATAGGAATGTATTCTAGTTTGGGTTCTTCTGTTCTAGGACACATATTTTCTGAGTTCAGAAGAATGTATAACTGCAGGAAATTTCCAGAACAAGCATCCCAACATATGCCGGCTTTCTCCAGATGGCCACTTTGGATCCAAGTTTGTAACTGCAGTAGCTACAGGTATAAACTGGTTTAGAGTCAAATTTGTAATATCACTGTTTTGTGTTTTTGTGTATTTAAATGCATTTATCTTCTACCTTTAAAGAAGTTCTTTATACTTAACTGGCATGGTGCTAATCTATTCTTATAATGGGCCAGTGTGGGACAGAAGAGACAGTTGTTAGTCCCCATTTGCTTGTCAAGACTCAGCCCAAGAAAGTGACCTTATCAGAGCGAGCCTCACAGTTAATGGCAGACGTGGGAATCTAACCTAGTCTCATGGTCCAGAGCTCCCTCCATTAGACTGTTGCTTTTGGCAAATTAATTTTTGGCTCCCTTGGGTCTGGATATGCTTCTCCTCACTCCCTGAAACAAGAATGTGAAGTCCAGCTGTGTGGGAGAATGGTAATTTGTTGTTTCCCAATGCTGCTGAAATTTGCCTCTGACCACCCCAATAAGCAGGAGGCATTTTCAGTCATTCTTATAGTGGCTCACGAAAAATACATGCTAAGGGAGACTGGGGCTTTTGTTCTGTGTTCCAGCTTGTTCCTCTTGTTTTTCTGAATGTGGTGGCCTTTTTGAGGTGCCATTTCCATACAGCTTCTTTAGGGGCAGAGAAGTTTTTTGGTGTATATATACCATGTATATCTAAGTTTCTCTGTGTCTGTGTACACACACACACACACACACACACACACACACACACACAGTAAATTTGTGATAGAGTTACTAAAAATTATGGCCTGTAAGAGGCATCATGAAATGTCTTCCAGAAAGTCTTGAGGTGCTGTAGTAGAAAAGAGCAGTACATAGCACCGTCTGTTTTGAAAGGAGTTGAAATTTGAATTGGAGACCAATTTGCAAAACCATTAATCAATATTTATGGAGTACCCATACTATACTGGGGACGTTGGCATTATGGGGGGGTTTCAGAGGAAGCAGACATCATCTCTGCCTTCATAGAGCTTACATTCTAGTTCAGTTCATTTAAATTTAACTCTCCTTACATGGAACCTGAAAAGATTGAGGAAATCTATGACTTAACAGTTACAAAACTTAAAACAACTCATTCATAGAAACACCTGTTTCTGCCATGCCTTTTCTTTCCACCCAGCTGCTGCCTTCTCTTGGGAATCATCATGAGAAAGCATGGAGCTCTTAAGAGGCAACTCCTGAGGGGTTCATGTGTAGGGGAGGGAAGAACATGTCAGAAGCAAGCACTCTTAGGGGAAGGGAGCTGAGGCTCCTGAGGTGGTGATGGCTCTTGGCCCCCAGTGTTTTCTTCCATATTGTCTTGGGTGATTCCACTGAAATTGTACTTATTAGAAATTCATTTGGGTTAATAACATCCTCTATTTTTATTTTAAAAGTTTTGATTGCAATCTTTTGTTTTTTTGTCATTTTCATTTTCAAGTGTGTTCCTAGCTCCTCCCTGATCTAGAGAGTCCAAAGAGAAAATTAATCAGTTCATCAAACTAACATACCCACATGTGATAATATATGCATTGTTTCACACCTGTTGCTCCCACTTCGCAAAGAAAGAGGGAAGGTGCATTTTTTCCTCTCCTCTTCAAGGCTAAGCTTAATCATTAAAATTAAGAAGCATTCAGGGTTTTCTTTCCCTCTCCTGTTTACTCCTTGTCACTTATATGTTTTTTTTAACTGGTTCTGCTTTACTGCATCAATTCCAGTCTTTCCCTGCACTCTTCATATTTGTTATTTCGTACGCTGCAGTAATATTCCATTACATTCGTGTACCACAGTTTGTTTAATTATTCTCCAGTTAGATGGACATCTACTTTGATAAACATTGTCTTTAAAAATACAAATGCCACGTAGTCATTCACACATTTGTATGAATTAGTTCAGTCAGATTACATTTGTTCTAATACCTGGCATAGTTCAACTTCCCTGAGGGAGTAGCACTTTTGATCGAGTAGAGAGGAAGTGGGAAATTTTGAAGCACAGAGCCATTTAGAGGGATGAGGCCCATCAGGTGGTGGTACAGCAGGCCCAGAGGAGTTATGGGGATGTGGGAGTTAGAGACCTTGTCTAGTGGAAGTACTGGGGAATTGGGGAGAGAGGCATGAAAAGAGAAGAGGAGAGGAGTAAAGAAAGGTAGGAAAGATACCAGAGGTAGAATTGGCTTTTTTCAAAATTTTGCCTTGGGCCGCAAAGGAAAAAGGATCTTTTTCCTCCTTTTTCTCTATGTACCCTTCCACCAGAGCACCTATTAATGCCATTAGAATTATAGTCCTGTTCCATTATAGGCTAAATATACTCTTATGAGCTAGCCTGAGAATCTAATAATCATTTATAACTTATTTTCTGTCAGATAGAAGATTTTCTGTCTCTCAGATAAGGTCCTGAGGTCTGAAAAACCAATTTATCATACAACTCTCTTCTGAGTTAGAAACCATATACCTTCATCTCTTAAGAGACAGGAAAAAAATTGGACTTAGAGTCAGGAGACTTGGGTTTGAGTCTCGGCACCTCACAAGGCATTTCACCTTCAGCCTCCGTTTGCAGTACTTATCTCAGTCTGGTTGTGCATAATGTCAAGCTTTATAAGCTGCAAAGCATATACATGTTACTATATATGTATTACTGGACTACCCTGCTCTGATCAATGTTCTTAATGTTTCATTCCTTCTATCTCTAGATACTTGATAGACATTTGACAAATCTAAGTCATCAATTCTAAAAGTATAGATTTGAGAAGGTCCTTTAGTGTACCATTGGACCTGTCTGCAAAGGATTAATGGTCATAATGTGATGGTTTGTACTTTTCTTTTTGATGAGAATTAATTTTCTTATTATACTCCTCATTAGTATTCAAAATAAAACTGTTCTTTCCACTAATTTAATGAGGGTTTTATTTTTTATTTTAATAAATGTTCAACTGAGAGTGGATGAATCCCAGCTGGTAGACTTAGGTGGCCTAGATTGTAAAGGAGATAACCCTTTTTCTGACCATATTCAGAATACTTCCTGCCTGAGCCATTCAGTACGGTAGTAAGCTTTCTTCAGTGAATTTGAGTGACCTTATAGAGCTAGAGAGTAGCTCCTAAGGCCAGAGTGAGAATTCTGTGTTCTCAGGTTAATTTCTTTGCCTCTTCACTGGGTGGCACAAACAGCTCACTCAAAATATTTTGGAATCTACTTTTTTTGTTTGTTTGTTTTATTTTTGGTGATTGTTATTTTGCTTTTCCTTTTTTGGACACCTAAAGCTATATTTAAAATTATGTCTGGAAAAGGGAAAATGAAGGCCTCAGAGCTAAAAGTGACCTTTAGATAACAATCCAAATTGAAAGAGTAGATGTTAGTCACATAGTTCAGCTGCAGATTCAGTGATGTAGCTTCTTGAAAGAACAAAGCAATATAGTGGATAATAAAATCTCATATTTCTGTAACACTTCTTGGTCTATAAGTATTTTCCTCACAGCAGCCCAATGTGGGTATTCTAGTACAAGAAGTACTATTCCTTTTTTACATTAGAGGAAACTGAGGCTCTAGAATGTTAAATGACTTGCCCATGAAGCCATCAAGGGAGGATTGAAATCCAAGTCTTCTGATGCCAGTCCTTTTTTTTGTGTATGTGTATGTTTTTTTTCTTTATTCAGAACTTTAAATAAACAGAATTCAGAATTTAATAAAATAAATTGGACATCACTACATAGAGAGTAGAACAGAAAAAGAAGATTGTACATGAAATTGTGAATCTGTTACATAAAACTTTTTTCCTTTGATGTGTATAATAAATTTACTGTGTGTCTTTCAAAGCTGTCCTGCTTGTCTTTGTTTCTTTCTGGCATTTTCTTTTTCTCCTGCACATTTAAAAAAAATGCTTCAGTGACCCTCATTTCTTTCTTTTCTTTTTTTGCGATCCTATAGGTAGCTCCTTTCTCCCTTGCTTTTAAAGAGCTGATTTTTTTAAATAAAGAAAAATGTTGGATGAAGTACAGCAGGGCTTATTAGATTTTCCTATTGCTGTCCCATCTTCAAGCTCCAAACTTCATCATCACTTAGAGATGTTAGAAACAGTCTGTTTTAAGAGCTCTCTCTCCACTAGCATAGTAACCTGTGTAAACTCCCTGCAACCCTAGGCATTCCAGGCTTTTGAGGACCTTTTTTGAGGACCTTAGAACCTTGAAAGACTTTTATAAAGGGAAATGGTCAACTGATTCAGGCTTTTTCTGAGCCTTAGCCCATATTTAGTTTCTGGGGATGTTAAAAAATGGAGGGTTAGGAAAAAAATTTGGGAGGGCTGTCTGTTCCAGGTAATTTCATACCATCATTAAATGAATCATTAGGACTTCAGATTCTTGATATTCCACATGGAAGGAGAATTTACAGTTCATCTCATTGAACTTACCTTTGGAGTATCTCCGTATGGATTAATTTTGCTTTCTTTAACAGCCTTCAATTTTACAATTAACACTTTCCATTTTCTTCCCACTCTCAGAGGTCAATTTTGTTTTTCTCTCTCCAGTGTCCTGTTGCTTGTTTAATGATTAACTTGATGACCATTTCAGGTTACAGACACCCAAATTAAAATGTTAACCATGTGGTCTTCTTTCCCCTTTCCCCCTTATCTTAATCCATCTCATCTTCCCCTTCTCTCCTCCTCCCCCTTCAAGCAAGTAGAACCTGGTGTTCTCATGTGTGGCTTAATCATTGAGCAGCCACTTTGTACCAAGGAAGGTACATATAAAAATATCTATCTATCTATCTATCTATATATATATATAGATATATATCTATACATATATCTATATATCTATCACATTCCCTCACCTCTAAGAGTTACCATTCATTTGGTTGCAGGCAACCATTTTCACTGAAATACTCCCATGAAGGCCTTGCATTCAAGATTCTGGGCTTAGGTCTTCCAGTTAGTTTAATGCATGACACTGAAATCAATGTAGGCCAACAAAAGGTGGATAATCTTGAAAGTCACATGAACATTCTTGTTCTTAGTAAACATATTCCCTTCTATTTTTGTGATAGGGAGCAAAGTGAAGCAAACATGCAGTGATTTTCCAAAGATAATGGGTCAGAGCTATCACTGAAAGGTAATTTTAGGTAGGCAGATAGATCACTTTTTTAGAATGCCATGATATTAACTTTCAGTCTACCAAAAGTTTCATTTGCTCATGAGCTAAGATTTTTTTTATAACACCTTAATCATTTTTATTTCAAGGATTGAGCTTATTCCAGTATCCTTGACAGCCTGTCTAGACTTCTCTCATACAGCTTTTATCCTTTCAGGCAGGATGGTGTAGTATAAAGAAGCTGAGAGTCAGAAGACTTGGGTGTACATTTCATCTTTGTCTCTTTCTCTCTATGACTCTATGCAGATAATTTAACTCTTCTGAGCTTCCATTTCTTCTTACACAAAATGGGAATAATACTTCTTTATACAGTTGTGAGGATTCAGTGTCATAATGTATGTAAATCACCATGTTATAAATGTAAGCTATGTTCTGAACCTGATTTTAAGTTCAGCAGTTGTGTTTTTGTTTTGAGGAGGGGGACAAAAGAGTAGCTTGCTAGGCATAGGACTACTAGGTGCAGTTGATTCTTCCTAGCATGTGCTTTTTGTCAATATTCTCTGAAGAGATGGGGTTTTCTGATATTTGTCTATGCACTCTGGTGCCAGGAGGAACACAACATTAGGTAGATGTTTGAAAGGGTTGGTTTGAAAGTTTATATTTCCCCAATTCACAAGAGGGTGCCACTGACTCTAGCCTGTGCATGAACTTAAAGTATGTTTGCAGTAATCTTAACATAGTAGTGTATGCCTAGGAATATTTTTTTTAAAATTGTAAAATAAAATAGAGTTTCACAAAAGTATACAGTTGTGAGGGATTACCTTTCCTCTTTGAAGAAGATGAAGAATAGAGCCATCAGGAAGTTATTTTATATATGGTTGTTGCAGTGTGTTTATTCTAAAGGTTGCTCTCTCTTCCAGGTGGTCCAGACAACCAAGTTCACTTTGAGGGTTACCAGGTATCTAATCAGTGTATGGCATTGGTCCGAGATGAGTGCTTGTTGCCCTGTCGAGATGCGCCTGAGTTGGGTTATGCCAAGGAGTCCAGCAGTGAGCAATATGTGCCTGATGTGTTCTATAAGGTAAGAAGTATGAAGTTTATATCAAGAATTTATCTAACAGAAGCCGTTGTTTTCATTTTGAAATGCTCAGATCTATTGAGTGATTAGCCATTTGTCTACCATAGTTAACTTAGAACTCTCCTCATGAACTAAGATACTGTAAAATTCTCAAGGATTATAATTGGCCACACAATCTTCTCTTATCTTTGTGTCTTCAGCAAGAATCCTGAATTAGTTATTTGGTTAGTTTTTGGCAGTTATTCATTGTGGTCTGGTTTTTATACATATTTTTGGTCTTGTTCTTCTTTTGACTGGTAAAAACGCTGTGGTTAAAATCAAGCCATTACAAGACCTCTTAAGATTCCTCCAAGTGGGAAGAGCCAGAAAATATCAAGGCAAATATATTCATTGATGGAATGTGACAGAACAGTATCAGGAATTATGATCTGAAGTTTGACTTGGATTCTCAATTCTACACAAATTTTAAATGATTTGAAATACTATTAGGTTTAAACATAACTAGCAAAACTGGATTATCTGTAGTAGCCACAATGCCTTCCATTTGGGAATTTGGTTGGCTGAATATACTCTTTATTTAGGTACTTAATTTTTGATATCACACTATTTTTTAAAAACAAGAATGACTCTGTGGTCATACTTCTTTTACTGCTTGCAATGAAAATAGTTAAAGGAAACGATTTTTAAAAATTTTGTTTTATTTTGATTTAGCAACAATCACTTCCATAAATTTTTTAGTTTAAAATTTTTCTCCCCTTCCCTCCCCATGATGGTGCAATCTGATATAGGCTTTACATATACATTCCTATTAAACATATTTTCACATTAGTCATGTTGAGGAAAGGATTTTTTAGAGACTAAGAAATGCCTGTTATAGATTTCAAAAAAATGTAATGTGAATCAGTTTCCTGCTCTTAATGTTTGTTTCACTTTTGTCATCTTGTTCCATTTATAAAATTTGCCTTTGTCCTTGATTATTCTTATTCTTGAGTTTGTCCTTGGATTTCTGTGGTGACTGGTAAAAAAGAAAGATCTTTTATTATATTGCTAAAAATGAGTTTACTTTTGCAGTTGGAGTAGGACACATAGGAAGAGTCTTGTGTTCCTATAAATGCTACTAAATAATAATAATGGTATTTGCTTTTTTCCCCCCCAGTTTTCTTCAGGGAGAATGACAGGATTGGAAAACATGTTCAGTAGTGATCTAGGTTTATTTTGTATGAAACAAATATATTTTGTTTATGTGATAGGAGTGTTTTCTTCTCTGTTGTGTTTCTAATTCCATCTGTTGAATCCTGTGACTGGTCACAAGGGAATAGAGTTCAAGATGTTACAATCTTTTCCATCTCTGTGGTCCTTTGAAGTTCTTTGACATCCCTTTGGATGACTATCGCTTGATGAGGTGTAAGGATGGTATCTCTGTGATTGTAGTTAGTTTACTTCCTGTATTATTCTTATCTTCCTCTTCTTGGATACAGTTTGAAGGATGAAGATTTTTACTACTGACCAATTGTTTAGACTTGAGTGCCATTTAATCCATTTTAGCCTTTGGTCATAGTGTAATCTGGTGTACTAGTTCTTATTCATAAGACGAATAAGTCTACATTTTGTGACATTGGTGTCTATGTTAGCTTTCACTCTAAAGCAGGGGTTGTTAATCTGGAGTCTGAACTTTTTTTTTAAATTCTATTCAGATAACTTCATTTAATGTATTTTATTTTTTACATTTAAAAACATTATTTCGAGAAGGGGTCCGCTGACGCACAAAAAAGGTTAAGAACCCCTGCTTTAGAGCAAACAAGATGAACAAGACACTGACAGCATTCTGTGGAAATTTCGAGGCTCTGATAAATTTTTTTATGACTTGCGAGGTTTTTTTTGTTTTTGTTTTTGGCTAGGCAGTGGGGTTAAATGACTTGCCCAGGATCACACAGCTAGTAAGTGTCAAGTGTCTAAGGCCGCATTTAAACTCGGGTCCTCCTGACTCCAGGCTGGTGCTCTATCTGCTGTGTCACCTAGCTGCCCTGACTTGTGAGAGTTTGAACTTTGAGTGAGGAAATATGTTTCATCACAAGACCTGGTTGATTGCATTTCTTATGATCTACGTGAAAACTTCTTGAAGATTTGGTTGCCTTTTGGTGTTCCTGAAATTCAGTATGATGAGTTTAAAATATTTTCTGGATTAGGAACCTAATGGGTAAGTTTTTCATAATGCTGTTGAGCCTTTGGAAAGCTGCTACTTTTGTTTTTAAGGTATGAGAGGGGCTCTTATGAATTCACATAATGATGAGCAGTGTGGGTGAAGGAGGTCTGAGTTTCCCAGATACATTATCCATAGGGCACTTAGGGTAATTCATCTCATTTGCTGAGACATCACTGAGCTTTAGTCAGAGCTAAAGGTATCTTTGGTCATCTGTGGCACAGATTCCCTTGCTGAGGAGTTGGTGGTGTGGGCCACAGCAGGTCTGTCTGCTCAGAAAAGTCCTGTGAGCTTCTTCCCATTTTTGAGCAGTCTGTGCTTGTCAAAAGGAAATACTTTGTGCATTCTGGAACACAACTTGTTAGGAAGATTTTTTTTTGTGCCTAATTAGGAGTAGATGTTGAATTGTTTCAACTTAAATTGTGTAGAAATGAATTGTATTGTCCTTCTGTTTTTAGAGGGGAAGAAGTACAGATAGTTATGGTAAGTAAAAAAAATCTTCCTTTAAGGAAGAATGGTTCTTTGCTTTTAGATTAGCTTTACTTTCCCTTTAGATTATTTCCTCTTAGCTTTTTGGATTGCAAGTTTTACCAATGTCTTTGGATTATATTGATACAGAAATCTAAAGTAGTAGCAATCAGAGCAGTTACAGCTGCAGGAAATTATTAAAAATGTGAAGTGGAAGAGCTAGATCTGATAAGTAAAGAAGGGCTTCAAATATGATAAGCATGTTTTTTTCTTGTAAGTTATGTTGTCTTTGTGTTTATGGAACAAGAATTTAAGGTTCTGCCATGTCCCACCCATTTAAAAAAATTATAACCAAGACTTACAGTGAGACTCCTCTGTTGCTGACTCATTCTGATGGCCTCTAGCTATAAGTCTGAGGAGAGCAGAGGGAAAAATGGCTTCTGTATCAGTTTTGCAGGAAAACACTTATTAAGCCTTTATGCTTGTCTTTCTTTTGCTCTAAGAAAAAGCTTTTTGCTGTTGCTGCTTTTGTGCAACTGTCTCACCAGGCTTGATAGGGCAGACCTTCCTGCCTTTTAATAGGAAAGTATTTGTACATGAGTCAGAAAACTCATTAAGTTAGCATCTAGTTTGAGGGGCTAGCCATTGCTTTCATGTTTGGTGAACCATCCAAAAGAATGTTGCCCAACCTGTAAAATGTATTCATGTTAGATTAAGTAGTTTTGACCCATTTTGAGAGCCTGATTGATGAAGATCGTGACAGCTTGCTAGCCACTTAGATTTGGAGACCAGTTAGCGCATTCTAATCAAGCTTTCCAGTCAGTGACCTGGAAACCAAAAGGGCGAAAGTAGTGCTTTCTTTGGAAGATTTCTTCCTTGAGCCAACTTTGGTTCCTTTAAGAAAAGGTGAATTCTGAGAACTAATTTGAATAACCTTATTCAATTTGAAAGTTTATTTTTTATATTGTTTAGTGTAAAGATATTAGTATGAGTTTTTAGAGTGTTGAGTTACACATTTCTATTTTTTTTGTTATAAATCTCTTGAATCCTTGATTTCAGGCTTCCTTTCCTGTTTCCATATAATATATGCTATTTCCTTGATAGCTTTCTCTGTTAGGGGCAAGATAAGATTTGATATTAGTCATTAAATTTTCTACTGGATTTGGGTGTCTAAACATTACCTGAGGTTGATTTGGGGGGCAGGGGCAGTGGAGAAAAGTAAAATCTGAAGTTAATAGACTCTTGGAAATATTTAAATTATTCCATGTTAATACTTTTGTAGCCTTTTCTTGTGTTAATTTTAAAAACAAACCTTTCAGTATCAGGAATAAGTAAAGATGCCATCCTTAGGATAATTACAATGCCATTTTATTGCTACTTTCATGTCAGAGATCTCACCAAGAGGGTGATAACAAATGCAAGAGGACCATTTCATCTGGTCAGCCTATGCCTTTGCAGCTCATGTCCTCGATGAGTCTTGCCAGACCCTGCCCTGCCCCCCCCAGAGGGACCTCTCTTTCACTCATTCCTCTAGAAGCTGAGTCTGGTGGACATTGACTTAAGTTGACTTAGCTTCCTACTTCCTGAGCATTCTCATGCCAACTGGCTGAATCTTATCTAACCTGGATAGCTGTCAGATGAGCAAGTGAAGGGGGACAAACCCTCCCTTTTTGACATCTTGTGATTCAGAACCTTCCTGCTCCCCATCTAACCATAAACTCTAGCCTGCATTCCTTATTTGAGGGACCTCTCCACTACATCTTGACCTCTTGACGTTTCCATGGTGATCTTCTGGGAAAAGACAAGTTATAAATTCTGGCCCAGTTAGCAGGATTTTGATGTATTAGAATAAAGTCTATTTGAATCTCTCTTTTTAAATAAATAAATAAATAAGGGGGCTGTTCCTTCCAGAAGAGACGTTTACACATTCCAGAAATACTACTTGTTTTATTTTTTTGTATTTGTGAGACTGGTGAATTTTATATTGGGTATCAGCCTCAAGAGGCATTACCTGTTAAATTTTAGTCGCATTTCATACTGGAAAGTTTAGTTTTGTCTGTTCTTCTGCAGTGGTTTAATATCTTTTTAATTCCTACAGTGAACAATCTGTATCATAGATAGGAAGTGTACATAACTTCTAAGCATTCTTACACATTCAAGTTCTTAATCAGGTTACATATCCAGCTTTTTCATTTAGTTGTCCAAAGGAAACTCAGCTAAGTGTGTCTTTGATACAGGTCCTTTTGGGTGTCTGTGTCCCAGATTCCAAACTTTTAGATCTGGGTTGTGAATAATTTACATGCAGTTTTTGCTTGCCCTTTCAAATTTATACTGC